GTTTCCTGGGCTGCTTGCGTCACAGAGTGGGTCAGAGTTCTATTTTTAGTTATAATCTGGCCATTGTTCCTTCGTGTATCCAGTCTCTCACCTTCCATGCAAAGTTTCGTGGCAAAAGGTGTGATACAGAGAGATGTAAAGAACTGAGGCTATTTTTCAATGGATCTACTCTGGGCGGCAATGAGGACTGGTGGCAGTGGGTTCTGAGGAGAACTGACATCCTCCTGTGAGGCGACCGCCCCAGGTGTCACTGGAGGCTTTTATGCAGAGGAAGGCTGGCTCTCTCAGACAGGGGGAAGGGAGTGCCTGTGTTGGCAAGTGGGGTTCAGGGAGATTAGAGGGTTTGAAGTTCTTTAACCTTGCTGTGTCTGCCCAAAAGATTTCGTCCCATGTCTCAAGGTCCCCACGCCTTCCCCAACCATTCCTTAGCTTAAGAAACCTGGTGGGGCTGAGTATTGAGTTATTTAGCAGGTTCTGCAACTCTCCAGCCCTTACAATCAGGCTGCGGGCTTGTTCTCAGCCACATCTGTCCTGCAACTGCCTAGATGGGGGCCTCCTCCCACATGTACACAAGAAGGGGGGATGGCTGTAGGCAAGTCACAATGGCTGTCTCTCTTTGTAAAAAAAATTATCACCTGCTTCCAGGAGCTGCTGGCTCACTGTCCGGTTTGAGTGGAGGAATGGGCTGGGGACCGGAAAGAACTGCTCGAGGTGAAAAACACAAAGTTTTCCAGTTGCCCTCAGCCCCACCAGGGCTCGGATCTTTGGAGACGGGAGGCTGCCCCGCTTTCCTGTAGCCTCCTGCCTGCTATGCTCAAGTCTACGAATTTAGCTTTCATTATAGACCTGAAGAGCCAGTGACTTCTGGCTGCTTCTGTTTTCTGCTCTGGAAAAATCCCTGAGGCAAGGAAAATACAAACAGCTGGCTACCTACTTGAAAAGGGTGTGGGGTCGGGGGTCAGAGATTGGGGGAGAGGGTGGGACTGCCCTAGCCTGGCACTTAAATATGAATACCTTATGCTCAAAGCCAGGGATGACACTCAGCCAGGACACCCCTGGGTGGACACACAGGCTGTTAAAATATCAGAAATCTTCAGTACCAGTTAGGAAACAGCCACAGGCCCAGACCCCTATGTCCCCTGAGGTTTGTCTGCCTTGGCCCTTCCTCGGTACTGCGGGACCTCCCTACAGACAGGGTCAGGGCCTGCAGGACCCTGCCCCGCATGGCCTGGCCGGCCACTGTTCCCACCAGTCAGAGCTCTTGCTCAGGCAGGGGCTAAGCATTTTTTTTTTTTTTTCCCTTTTTGTCCTTTTTCGTGACTGGCAACGGATCGCAACCCTCAGTGTCGCGCCCATACCGGACCAGGACCG